ATTCTATTCTTTCATAATTCTATTCTTCCATTATTCTATACTTCCATCATTCTATCCTATCATTATTCTATTCTGTTCTTTCATAATTCCATTCTTTCATAATTCTATACTTCCATTATTCTATACTTCCATTATTCTATTCTATTCTTTCATAATTCTATTCTAATTTTCTATTCTATTCTTCTTTGAGCTCAGGTCTATCTCAGGGTTCTCTCCAAACTTGTGGATCTCAGCTCCCAGAATCCCCCAACCAGCCACCCTAGGGATAGTGGCCAAGTTTGGAGACAAACTGGCTGCGGAATTCTGGGGGCTGAAGTTCTCGACTCTTAAAAAATTGCCAAGTTTGGAGAGACCCCTGATCCACTCCCTCCCCTCTAGTTAAACAAACAACCAAATTGAGGTGTGTTTTTCCCCCTCCCTCCCTCCCCCCGGCAGAAGATGCTCCGGCTACTTCCTCCCAGCCTCCCAGGGGACTCTCACCTTGATCTTCTGCTGGTATACATGGTCATCGTCCGCGTACTCCTTATACAGGACGGTCAACTCCATCCTCTCTGAGACTAAAGGGTTCTGGACAGCAATCTGCAAAGAAAGAGGCTGAATCAACACAACCGCCCAGTGTGGCAACAAAGGCCACGGGCACTTGTTAACACGCTCGTGGCAAACAAGAGATCATCCAAACACACTGCCGGCCGCCACCTAGCTTGAGAAACACACCATCAATAGCAATAACAGTAGCACTTAGACTTACAGTGCTGTGTGCAGCCCTCTCTAAGCGGTTTTACAGAGTCGGCATATTGCCCCTAACAATCCGGGTCCTTGTAAAGACAGTTCTCGACTTAACCCCGGAGTGTTTCTTTTGCAGCGGTCGTTAAGTGGATCACCGTGGTTAAGGGACGACCGTGCTTGTTAAATGAACCCATCGTTCAGCCTTTTTTTTGCCAAGAAACAGATGTAAACACAGCAAAGGGCTGTAAATTTGGGAGGGGGGAGAATTGGAACTTCGGCCATGAGTATCTTCTGGGGGCCTGTCGCAACTTTGAACTGTTGCTAAGGGATTGGTCCTAAGTCCTCCCTGTATCCCATTCAGGGTGGCGGTAGGGAAACTCCCAGGAAATGATGCAGGACCTCAGAGAGGTGCAAGGAAGTGGGAGTGGGCAGAACACAAGGCAGGGGGATCCCTCAACTTTAGCCTGAAGCATGTCCACAAATAACGTGCATGATTTGGGTGGGCCACGAAGCAGAAGACCAGGGCTCACCTCCTGCTGAATGCGGTCCTGTTGGGCCATTATGGCCTCATCGTAGGCCAAGCAATTCACTCCTGAAATGGAAGAGAACAAAACCACGTGAGAATTTGCAATCATCCTCCTGCACTGAGATTAAGGGAGAGAGAAAAAAAAACCACACAAAACCCAAACAGATGTTGTTCCAGAAGCTCTCTCTAATCTTGGCCCTTCCAGATGTGCCGGCTTGCAGTGCCAATAACCAAGAGGCAAGCAAGGCCAGGGGCTGAGCTAAAAGGTTGTCAAAAAAAAATTAAACTCGCCTGGCAAAAATGTCAAAGGGCAACAAGGCAATATTTTTATTTTATTTTATTTTATTTTGCAAAAGAAGAAATCGACACATCCACCCCCTTAATGGGAATTTGTGAAGCAGAATGCTGGATTTTATTTCCGTCTCATGCTTCACATCCAAGACACTATTACATCTTCCATAAATTAAAGTTTTAATAGGCCACGATTTCAAAGAACGCAGATCAGCTTCCAAGGCCGAGCCTGGCTTCCCCGAACGTCTTGAGATTAAAAAACAACAACAAAGCAATTACATACAAAACATCCACCCCACCTTTTCCACAGCTCCTGAGTCTGCAGCCCCCTCTGCGACACTGGGCTCCTAGCGAGGAGGCGCAAGTGGTCGCACAGATGAGGAACTGCCTTGGGTAGAAAGCCCTCCTCGCGGCCCCCCTTTCGGGGCCAGGCGCCAGGGTGGGCTCCATCGGGAACCCTGAACTCCGCTGCCCTCCTGGAAGCCAAGCCTGCCACTCCCAAAGCTGCTCTCTCTTTCTCTCTCTCTCTCTCTCTCTCACACACACACACACACACAAAGCAACCGGCTTGCTGGATGAGCTGCTTTGCAAGCCAGCCAGGCAACCGTTCATCCTTTCCCCTGGCACCGTTGACTCCGCGGCGGCAGCTGCCAAGGCTGCAGAAAACCATGAAACCTGATCTGGGGCCATTCCGTGTTGCGAGGGCTGGGATGCTACTGCAGTGGAGGAGCATCTCTTTTCACACACACACACACACACACACACCCCGCCGCAGCCTGCACAAAACCCCTGGGCCAGATTACAGCCAGCTGGCCTTGCCGCCAAAAACCTTGGACCCAGCGGACACGCAACCCAGATTCATCAGTTAAGAGAGTTTAACAAAATAATAATACTAATAATAATTCCCCAAGGACAGGAGGAACACGCCAGGCTCCATTAAGAAGGGGACGCCCGATCTATTCCTGAGCAAAAGTAGGACAGAGAAAACAGAGAAATATATGTAGGTGAATGGAAAATGTCCCCCCAGGTGCTTTTTCACAAAACACAAACAGGGTTTTCCTTGAAGACGTTTCGCTTCTTGTCTGTCTGAGAAATATGGGCCTCGCTGCTCATCGACGGAACCGATTTGGAGGGCCTTAGGAAGCAAAAATACAGGCAGTCCTTGACTTGCAATAGTTTGTTTGGTGACCATTCAAAGTCATGATGGCACTAAAAAGAAAATGACTTACGACCGTTTTTTTCACAGAGTTACGACCTTTGCAGCATCCCCCCAGAGTCACGTGAACGAAATTCAGACGCTTCGGCAACTGGACTCATATTTATGACAGCTGCCGTGTCCCAGGGTTGTGTGATTTCCCCTTTGGTGACTCTCTGACAACGGGGAAGCCAGATTCACTTAACAGATTACCAACTGCAGTGATTCACTTAACAACCGAGGCAAGAAAGGCCGTAAAACGGAGCAAAACTCCCTTACCAAATGCCTCACTCAACAGCAGAAACGTTGAGCTCGATTGTGGCCGTTAAGTCGAGGACTCCCTGCAGTTTGCATTTATCAATGGAGCCTCCCGGAGGATTAGCTCCATCTTTTTACAATCCATTCTGGAGGAAATCAGATCTGTTCCAGACAAACAGCAACAAAAAAGAGCCAGCCAGCCACGCAACATGGAGTCCTACGCTTCTTTCTGGTAAAGCCAGTTCAAGAGCAGGCAGAGAGCTTTCCCTAACATGGACATTTGCAGAAAACTACTTAATTTCTATTGATTCGATCACTTAAAAACACAATGCAGATGGGACCGTCTGACCTTGTCTGGGCTCCGATTCGTCCTTAAATGAGAGAGAAAGAGAGAGAGAGAGAGAGAGAAGAAAAAAAACTAGTAGCAGACCACTTCTATCCTATTGCCAAGAAAAACAACATGAGGTCATCTAGATTTGAGCTGGACTCACTGCAGACTTTACTTTTTAACAACTAAATTGGCAAATTATCGGGCAGCAGCTGCCAGCTCAGGCAGCTGATACACAAAACTTTAATCGAATACATACTCGTCCCACTCTGGGGCTAAGTAACTTTATGCAAAGCACAGAAAAACCTGTACATGGTAGTAAAGAAGAGGAACTGAAAGTCTGAGATAAAGGAAAAAGAGGATCAAGTTTAAGTTAGCAACATCCCCGTACTCCTCAACACTTTTCTTCCCTAACCAAATGTTGCCTTCTCCCCTTTCTGAATAAATTGCCTTTTGTGCTTTATCGCCTCTCTCATGCACTCCAAATGAACATACCTTGCTGAATATCCCTCCCTGCAGTACATTCACACAGCTACCTATATATTTCTGTTTCACAATCCATATTCTCGCTATATGGCCAAACCACCAGCCGCTTGCTTGCTTTTATTCCACCCCACAAATATTTAATATCCGTCAATTCCTGACCCCCTTTTTTTATTTTTAATGCAAGTTTTCCTTAGTGCCTTCCTTGTGTTCAACTGCTCCGCATGTTTCTCCTGACATATATAAACTCTGATTTCTGGAAAGAAAGTCAGCAAAAACACACATGATACCGTTGCATCCTTCAACAAACACTAAAGAGGGGATTTCCCAACCTGGTGACTTCAACCCCCAGAATTCCCCAGCCAGCATGTCTTTAAGCCCAGGCGTCTTAAAGTTGATACGGTTGGGAAACTCTGCATTAATCTTCTTAATAAACAGTAATAACCACTAGTTTTCTCTCTCAGCTTTTCCATTCATTCATTCAATTGGTATAGCCGCCACTAACTCTGGACAGCAAACTCATAAACAATCTTTGAAAATTTCTTTATTTCTCGTCCCTAAAACGTCCAAAGCACCCAAGTTTATTTATTTCTTCCGGCTTTTCATCAATTACGTAGAGTGTGCAATTGTTCACTCCATTTTCCCCATTCAGACGCAACTACCTTGTTTCTTTGTTACATTGATTTTCAGTTCCACATTTCTTCTTCCATTTCACAATCTTCCTGCAAATCAGCCAATAAGGCAACGTTCATATCCCAATCGGCGCTATTCTCAGACCACAATTTCTTGCACATTTTATCCATAGATGTATTAAAGAGCCAGTCTACCCACCCATTCATTTCTTCCCATCCACTCATTAATTTTACTTGATAATTTTCCCTGGATCACAATCATGCAGAACGTTGTACAGTTTTTTTTCCCAGCGTCCCTAATCAGTGACATTAATTCATCTGTTTATACCAACGCTTTCATTTGTAATTACATCAACGCCTGCTTCACTAACATGCATTCATCAACTCCACACAAGACTTAAATCATCGTCATTCAGATTATATTGTTGCCTATTTTTATTTCACCCATTACATTATAAATTATAGTATAGCAGGGGATTGGATTAGAAGACCTCCTAGGTCCCTTCCAACTCTGTTATTTTGTATTATTTCATGCTTTTTAACCATTTATTCCTCTTATATTTCAAGTCACAATTTTCTACCTAGCATAGTTAGAACCATATTCAGGTCCACACTAATCCTTGACTCAAGGTTTTCACAGAATGCTTTTTATAAATATTAAAAACGTGGAGCAAGTGACTGTTTAATCCGTGCATTCATAGTAAAGAGAGAAAGAGACTACAGTATGTACTGCATGCATCAATTGTAAAGACAGAAAAAGAGTAGCCTGCCACATTTTGGCCAGGATGTTACAAACACAATAAAGTTCAGCTTCACTCCAAGCTTATTTCTATTATTCTACTACACAAACTGCAATCTCTAATATAGAGATTGTCTTATAAGGCAACATTATGTTGCTTGCAGCCCAACAACTCAGAGACAAAAGGGATCAGTTATGCACACTTTAAATGAAAAAAATTACATTTTTGAAAAAACACTTTAACGAAAACCAGTGTCTGCGGGTGTGTGTGTGTATGTGTCATAATTTGAAGTGTGAGGAATATGAGCAGAAAACAGATAAGATGGATAAAAAGGAAAGGGTATTCCTGGTTGTTTTCAGACAACATGCCAATCCTCTGGCTCTATTCAGGTAACATGCTATACCTGAGCAAATAAAACAACTCCTGATTTAATCAGAGTGCCTAGAACCTGAAATAAACCTGACTGTATTAACCCACAGCCATTGTTTTCAACACTGAGACTTCAGCTCAAAATACACTGTCCACAAAACACACTCCTTCATTCGTTCAAAATTTAAAAAGCAGATCACGGCATAAAGCGGTGCACCAAACACAGAACCTGTTAAGACAAGCAACGTTCCCATAAAAGACTGATTCATGCAATATATAAAGTGATGGATGAGCACCCCATTGGGGGGGGTGTTAGAATCAGAAGAAAACAACATCTAGTTTGCAAATTATTTCAAGGGAGCAAACTCGAACAAGGGGGCTAAATTTTATCTCCTAATATTTGGGGGTAAAGAGCGAGGGAGAATAATGCCAAGCCTCAAAAGGAACAAAGCAAGGTTAGAAGGAGCAAACTCAAGCTGTAAATGCAGATAAAGGGATTTTCATGCACGTTTCCCACATTCCCAGATTCCTGGAGTTGTGAGTGCTCCATCACTAAAGGTTTTCCAGAAGAGATTGGACAACCATTTTGTCTGAAATGGTGTAAGGTGTTCTGATCCAGCAGAGGGTTGGACTGGAACAGGGGTCGCCAACCTTTTGGACCTCATGGATCACCAAAGTCATAATTTTAAGTCCTGCGGACCACTAGTATGAATTTTGACTGACGTGGCTTGCTGACGTTTTCCCAGGGTCTCTGCAGAAAGGAGCAGAGACCCTGGGAAAATCCCCCCCAAAGTCTGAAGGAAAATTCCCCACCCCATTTTCCTACCGATCAATCATTCTTTATTTGGGATCGCAGGATACCAGCTCCAGCTCCGTTCTCAGGGGGAGAGAGAGACTTTTGGCTTCATGCAAGGAAAGCAGCAGAAGCAGCAGAAGTCTTTCTTTCTTTGCGCAAACTCCGCCGGAAATGAGTCTTTGCCGGCTCAGCCTCTTGGAGTAGGAGGCCTTGCAGGGTCCCAAAGGCTCATTTATGGCAGAGTTTGGGGCAGAGAAAGACAGACTTTTGCTGCTTTCCTTGTGTGCCGCCAAAAGCAGAAAGAAGCAGCTGGGTGGCCAAGCCAGGTGTGTGGGGTGAGTGGGGCAAGTTCCCCTCCCTACGTCCTTTTCCCCCCTCCCCTCACTACCTCGTGTTGTTTGCAATACAAGCGATGCAAGCCTTGTGTTCCCACGGGCCATGTGGGCAGCGCAGCCTTGTGTTCCTGCGCAGCCTGGATTAATTGCTTTGGGAGTGACATTTCTCTGCGGACCACCAACATTCTCTCACGGACCACCAGTGGTCCCCGGCCCACTGGTTGGCGACCACTGGACTAGAAGGCCTCCACTCCAAGGTCCCTTCCAACTGTTATTCTGTAGACTCGCCCTATAAGAAAAGGGTTGGGCTGGGGAAACCCACTTAAACCAGATGCAACCCCCCCACCCAAGGTTATTACTATAAAAGATAATATTTGCAGCACAGGTTTGAAATGAGGATTGGCTTGTTTATCTATGTATATGATTACCTGTTAGTCTTTCTACAATGTACAACTATGAGTACTGATAAAAGAATATTTGTAGCTCAGGGTTGGGTTGAAGGATCCTTGGGGCTCCTTTCCATGCAGATGTTTCATTAACAGACTAGGTAACATCATCAGTGCTAGAAGGGATAGAGATTTGCTGGAGGGTGGGGGGGAAAGAGGAAGGAGACTATGGTGGCCTTGGTGCTCTATTGAGTTTGGTGGTTTCCTTGCAGACGTCTCGTGACCCAGCTAGGGAACATCATCAGTGCCAGAAGAGAGTGGGCTTTGCTCTGAGTTTATCCACTTGTATATAAAGTGGACAGAAGGGAATGTTTGCACTCAGGGCTTTCTTGGGTGGGTCCTTGGGGCTCTCTGAGCTGGCTCGTTTCCATGCAGGCGTTTCATTACCGGACTAGGTAAGGTCACCAGGGAATGGAGGAGGAGGAGGAAGGGGACTATGGTGGCCTTGGGGCTGTCTGAGCTTGGGCGGGGAGGGCTTTCCTTGCAGACGTCTCGTGACCCAGCTAGGGAACACCATCAGTACAGTACCTCCACCAGGGTGCAGCCGGGAAGGCGACGCCTCCATCATTCCCCCCGCGGGGCTCCGGGGCTCCTACACAAGCCCCCACCACCACCACCCCGGCCTTCCTCAGCGCCCATCATCCCCAGGGCTGGGGCGGATGGGCCCCGCAGTCATCCCGGCCGGGCGCCGGCACGAGCCCCTTCCTCGCCAGGGGCGCCGGGCGGGACGTTTCCATGGCGACGGAGACGGCCTTTGGGGGTGGGGGGAGCGGCGGGAGGGGGAAAGGTGGCGGTTCCCAAGGTGACCGAGGGCGGCCGGAGCCCGTCCCGGGCCGAGCGCGCCGTTGCCAAGGAGACCGAGCTGAACGGGCGGGGGGGGGGGGGAAGGGGGGGGGGGCTTGCTGGGGGGGGGGGGGGGGTTCGGAAGAAGAAGCCACCCGACTAATGCGGCCTCCCAGACGGAAGGGGCCTTTGCCCCAGTTCACAACGCCCGACGCGCCCTCCACTCCACCCGAGGACCAGCGGATCACCCCGCCCTCACCGTCCGTGTCCCCTCCGACGGGCTCCGGTTGTTGTTGAGGCTCCTCCGCCGCCATCTTCCCGCTGGCAACCCTGCAGAGAAGAGGCGCTTCCGGGTCGGAGGCGGGCGCCGCCCCGGAAGCGCTTAGGCCGCCTTCTCTTTCCATGGCAACCGCCGCCCCCTCGGCAACATAATGAAGCGCTGGGGGAGGAACGAAGGAAGGAAGGAAGGAAGGGGCTCTCCCGCCCCTCCCACCGTCTGACTCCCCCACCCCTCGCCTCGCCCTCCCCACAATGGAGGAAGGAGGGGTCGCCATGCCGGCGCTTGTGAGGCCATCACAACACAGGCCGCATGGGCGCCCCGGCAGCTGACGTCACTTCCTGGCCACGCCACGCCCCCCACGTGCTCCCTTCCCCAATCCAAGGGATTCCAAGGCTCATTTTGCAAAAGGGGAAAAGCCGCTGCAGGAGATCCTGGGGGGGGGGGGGGGGGGGGGAAATAGATGATTGATAAGATTCGGTTAGATTATAGATGGATAGAAAGGCATAGATGATGGCTGGATAGATAGAAGAGAGAGAGAGACAGGTAGGTAGGTAGAGATGATTGATAGGTAGGTAGATAAGATAAAAAGATGATGAATGGATAGAAATAAAGCTGGAAAGATGGACGGAGATAGATGGATGAATGGATAGAGATCGATATTTTAAAGCGGCCCTCACTGCACCAACCCTCCAGTCCAAAGGGGCTTTTTGATTAAGACCAATCCTCCAAATTGCTGCAAACAACAGATTAATAACAGATCCCACCTCCCTCCATTTCCATCTTTTAGTTATAGTGGATAATTGTTATTTTCATGGTGTTGTGTTATTAAATATGCTTTTTTGTATTGTTGGCTTTTTATCATGGTTAAAGCCGCCAAGAGTCGCCGTATGAGATGGACGGCAAGCAGATTTAATAAATATATAAATAAACGTGTCTGTAGGCTTTGAGCAGAGAGGGTGCAAGGTCCGTTCCAACCCTGTTGTTCAATGAGGTCCTCAAACCATATGGGATGGAAACTGTGTGTGTGTGTGCGTGTGTAAAATGCTATTTTCCAAATTGCATTCCTCAGTTCCTGACATTTCAAACACCACACATCTTCAACTTGTTGAGAAACACTGTTCTGACTTTTTGGTACAGCTTACTACACTACAATTTAGGTTTTAGGATTTCTTTTTTAAAATCCTGATATATTTTTTTATAAATAACCCAAGGCAGCAAAGATACCTGATATTCTGCCACCCTCCTTCTATTTTCCGCACAACAATCCTGTGAAGTGGGCTGGGCTGAAAGCGAAGGACTGACCCAAAGTAACCCAGCTGGTGTTCGTGCCTTGCTTAAGGCAAGACTAGCGCTCTCTCCATTTCCTGGTTTCTAGTCTGGTGCTTTCACTGCTAGACGAAATTGGTTCTAATTACAGTACATGGTTCCTACCACTGTAGTTTGCAGGCCACAATGTTGTTTGCCAAAGGTGCAAGAAAGCAGGGGAGGGAACAGTCTCCTTTGGCATGAGCCATTAGCCCTGCTGCTGAATATGGATTGATCACTTGAGTATTCTTCATGTGTGACTACAGTATTTTTAAGGCAAGTCCAACGTATCATAACCCTTTGCCTCTTTCCGAAATATTTGCCCTGCCATATGCAAGATGTGGGACATCTTCACAATATTTCAATAGCTCAATATATCCCAGATGAAAGCTGTTTTTGCTGCACTGGACCCTTAAAGTGGTTTTTTTTTTAAAAAGCAAATATAATTTCAGCAACATTGAGATCTATGTTAATTGGTTCTACCACAGATCAGCGCTATAATTAAAACACTAATTAAATTTGCTTATTCACAGCTAAATGGAAGCACTCCAAAATGTGTGGGTTTTTTCTATCAGATTACACAAAGAGTTAGACAAAACTATTGCAGAATTATTTATAATTAGGAAACATTTATTCAGATTGTCAACTTATCCCTTCCTTTTGCAAATTTTGCATATAAAATTGTTTACTATCCATTTCAAGCAACCCTTTGGTGAAAACAAGCAAAAATTAAAGAAACATGGAAATAACATTTAAAGGCTTTTATTAACATCAAAGGAATTATTCAATGTTATTATAATTATTCAAATTATTTGAACATCCAGGAAAGCAAAATTCAGGGACTTTTCCTTAGGAAACTCAAGACAACATATTTCAAAACAAAAATCAATATAATTATTCTATAGCCTTTTTGCAACTTGTAAAAAACAGGAAAAAAAGTGATCTATATCTATAAAAGCATGCTAAAACCAGATTGCAGTTTATTTCTGGCTTAATCTCATATGTCCATTTAACTATAAAGGTTTGAAAACATGGTTTATTCCACACTGTGTGATAACTAACCAATATGGTTTAGCCACAAAACCATCATTAAAATAAACCCGATCAATACTGCACTGTACATTCAGTCTATAAGAACCATTAGTTTGCTTAGATTTGTTAACACATTTAAGCAAACTATATTAATTTATGAACATTTTGCCAATCCAGAGATTTTATTGTAGACCCAATGACTTGAACAGTCCTCAAAAAATAAAGGCAGCTCACATATCCAGGCATCACTAAAAGCGAAGTATGAGTCCAATTTTACAATATTGCTTGTTCACAATTATTTGGAAACACTGCAAAATAATTCTTCCATAATAGATGCTTATCGCTAACCTACACTCGGGTTATTATCTTGGATCTTAGCTGTATATACTTTATATATTTTCGTCTATTTACCTCTAATTGTCTCTGTTCAGATATTTATCCCTCAAACATCTTTAATTAAGAGTGAATTACTCTTGAATAAGGTAATATATTAATGGGAGAATTGCACCACCTGCCTCATCCTCCACTGGGGGACCTGCCTGATTTCATGACTCCCTTCTCAGGGCGACCCCTGGCCCAATTCCCCCCCCCCCCCCCCCCCTCCTCCCCCCCCCCTCCCTTCTCCACTCAGTTCCCCCCAAGAGACTCATCCAAGCTCCCCTTCAGTCGTGCAGGACTACAAACCCCATCATCCTCTGCCAGGAGGGCTACCTGCGACATGTCTACACCCCTTGGCCCTGGAGGGCTCAAGGATGGGAGCGGCCGGCCCTGAAGCCTCCGTCCTCGGTCTCTCCTTGAACCGACGCCGCTGCTGCGAGAAGCAGCTTTCTATCCTCCACGGCCAAAGCCGGAAGATTAAACCAGAAGCCGCTCCAGCCGGCACACCATAGAGCAAGCTAAGGAAAGCCGGTACTTCCGCTGAAAAGAGTTGCAGTTCCTCCATTGGCCAATGCTAAGATTCCATAGAGAACCAGGCATGTGTAGAACGTATTTCCGGCGAGGCAGGCTAGCAGGTGACCTACACTAGGATCAAGGACCCATAGAGTAAGGCCGCTCTAGCCGCTAGCAAACCTCTGAATGCACCGCCTGGATTCACAAACTGTGTCAAAAGTCCTTGGCGCACTTTTTCAAACTTTTAACAATATATATATATCACGTCTGAATTTATACCCCTTTGAGAGGATGGTGAACGTGCTCATGTAGGCTTGAATTATTTTCTTCTGGAATTTGGGGGGAATTTTACAAAACGATGAAGTTTCTTTTCTTTGACAGTTGTGGGAGGGTTTGCAAACAGGCATCCGAACAATTTCTAGCCATTAACATTGAAGATGGATCCAATCCTAATTTTTCCAATTACACAAACACGCAGGTGGTTGTTGGAAAAGGCACATACAGGTCGCCTTTGACTTTGAACTGTTCATTTAGTGACCGTTTGAAGTACAATGGCACTGGAAAAAGTGACGTGACCACTTTTCACTCTTACAACCCATTGCAGCATCCCCGTGGTCACCTGATCCAAACTCAGATGCTGGGCAACTAACTCGTATTTATGATGGCTGCAGAGTCCTGAGGTCATTGATTACCCTTTGTGTGGTCAATGCAGTCAATGCAGAAGCCAGGCTCACTTAACAACCGTGTCACTTAAGGTCACAACTGCAATGATTCCCTTAACAACCATGCCAAGGTTGTAAAACGGGGTGAACTCACTTAATAACTCTTTTGCTTAGCCATGGAAATGTTGTTCACAATTGTGGCCGTTGTCAGTGTTTGGAATATGGCTTCCAAAGCTGACAGCCGTAAGTCAAGGACCACCTGAACAGGTTTTCCAATCCACTTCCACTGTAGTTTCCCCTCTCCGTTCAGCCAGCATCTCTCCCTCCTGACGTCTTTCAAAGGCAGCCAAGAGTATATAGGAAAGACAACATTCTGTTTGGCTTTGCTTCCAAAAAGGAGACTGTCACTTATCCAAGTGACGAGGGAGGGAATCCTTGCCAGCCAGGGCCGCAATTATGAGAAATACACCAGCCTAAGACATGCCAGTAGCAGAAAGGTTAGCCTGCTCCTTGGAGACTGCCAAAAAAATGATCACAAGTTGCGTCGACTGCTAAAGAAACCGGCACTTTTGAAAGAGAAAGGAAGGCAAGCAAGGGTGGTGGGTTGTCTTGGTTAGGCAAGCTTTAACCAGAAGAGGGTTGACTTTCTATCAAGGTTACACCTTGGAGTTGGTGACAAGATGCAAACAAACATCAGTGCATGAAACGACCCATGTGTTTTATTTCCTTGCTGGTGGAGACAGCCACGCTCGATGGGAACTTTGGAAGAGTCTATATAATTTATAAAGGTAAAAGGTTCCCCTCGCACATCCGTGTTAGTTGTTTCCGGCTCTGGGGGGGCGGCGCTCGTCTCCGTGACAAAGCCGAAGAGGAGCCAGCGCTGTCCGAAGACGTCTCCGTGGTCATGTGGCCGGCAGAACTAAACGCCGAAGGCGCACAGGACGCTGTGACCAAAGGGCTCCCTATTTTTCTACTTGCATTTTTGACATGCTTTCGAACTGCTAGGTTGGCAGAAGCTGGGACAAGGAACGGGAGCTCACTCTGTTCCGCGGTGCTCGGGATTCGAACTGCCAACCTGTTGACCTTTCTGATCAACAAGCTCCGTGTCTTACTCTCTGAGCCCCTATATATAATTTATATCCTGCCTTTATTATTTTTACAAGTAACTCAACAATGGCAAACCTCACAATGTTCCTACTTTTTACCCCTCTCCCAACAACCCTGTAAGGCAAATGGGGCTGGGAGAGGGATTGGCCCAAGGTCACCCAGCCGGCTTTCATGCCTAAGGCGGAACTAGAACTCACCGTCTCCTGGTGATTGGCCCAAAGTCATCCAGCTGGCTTTCATGTCTAAGGTGGGACTAGCTTTGTAGCCAGGTGCTTTAACCACTAGGCCACAAATTGGAGGAAGCCCACTAGTTTACAGTAGTCATTCAATTAAATTGATTGAACATCGTTCTTAACCTGTGGGTGGCGGAGAATAAGCTATCAGACCTATAAATGCTCCTTTGCCAAGCCTTCTCAGATAACCTGGCTTGTTCCGTGTGTGTGTGTGTCTGTCTTTGAATGGAAGTCTCAACAGAATACTCTCAGATAATCAGATAAGAACCAACATTTATTTCTGCAAGGTTCTTAACTGATCCTTATCTTTGGCTTTTATTGCTTATATCCATTTATTATCAAGTATTATCTCTAGGAAGGCTGTTCACTCCTCCCTGGGATGAGACAAGGTAATTAATAAAAGTATTCAGGGACTGTGTTTTAAAAAAATATATTGTTTTTGACAGCCAGGGGCAGGGAACAAGATGGTGAAATGTTGAGTCCAATTACTGGCAGGGAGCAAGACTGGCCAAGCCTTAGAGGTGCCAAGAAGCTGGCCTTTTTTTTGTTGTCAGCTAAGCTGCAAGGTGGGATTCTCTGGCAGATACGTTTCAGCTTCCAGACAAAGGAAGCTGCCAGGGCAGAAGATAAAACTGCAGCTGTGTTTGCGTGATACATCTGCCCCTAGTGAAACTAACCATTGTTTGTGCAATTAGCCCAATTTTCTGGACCACACACCGTGAGTCATTACATAATCATCTGGCTGGCTTACCCAATTGCCAGGGAAAAATAGTATGCTGGCTGCTTGTCAACCTCTCCTTAGCTCAACGTTTCTATTTTTAGCTTATTCTGGCAGGTCTCAGGTGGCAAGAGCAGCCATGCTTTCTGGGCCATCCTGCCAGCAATTAAACCATCTTTGGATGGAAACTATTGATTCAACTAGGGCCCTGCTCTCCACAACCGCATCCGCTAAGCCAATGTCTCTCAACCGTGGCTACTTGGAAGAGGTCTGGACTTCCAACTCCCAGAATTCCCCTGTGCGCATATGCATGGACTTCAACTCCCAGAATTCAGAAAGAAAAGGCTTAGAGTTACCACATCGAAAGCTTATTTTCGACATACAAAGGGATCTCTTCCATATTTTTTTCTGCTTGCATCTCACTTGCATTTGCAAACTCAAATACCCGTTTTTTAAAACAGGCCTTGGGAGGATGAGAGTCAGCATCCAATAGAACAAGAATGAAAACACCTGAACCAAAGAACAGAATTGGTGGTTTTTCATTTGGCTTTTTATAGTGGTGCACAGAAAAGTATTCTGATGGGAGAGAGAGAAACTTATCCAATTGTTCAATACAAAAAAAAAACCCTGGACTATAATGTTTAGGGAAAATAGAGCACCACAGCACTCTTTAAAAAAAGAGCCACAGAATGCATCACAAAGGAACAACCCACTGGAGATCAAACAGAATGTTTATTTTGAAAAACAAGACAAACTGCACCCCCTCCCCCCATTCCAGTTAACCCTTTTCATTTAAAAAAAAAAAAACAGGCTGTTCCCTTTTATTCCAGCAAAAGTTGCTGGTTTTATAAGAGTAGTTATTTTGAAATTTGTTCTGTGAAACAAAACTACCCCAAAATGCAAAACATAAAAATAAAAAAGAGGCAACACCCACTAGATATACAAAAGTATCATTTCAGCTTCAAAATGTAAAGTATTTTGCATGCCACACTCAACATGCTCGATCACCTTTCCCCCCTTTTTTGGGAGGGGAGGGGGAGAGAAATCCATCAATGGAGAAGTCTAAAAAGAAAATCAAGGTGTTGATTAAACCAATGTATATTTATGGGATCGTCGTGTATGCTGAGAGTTTTTAGTCCCGAAACCAACGGACTAGAGGATCCCCTAAACAAATAAGGACACACTCCTAGTGAACTAGAATGATTTGCTCTTGCACAACTGCTTCTACTGGGAACTTTCAGACAACAAAACCGCTCCAAGTGGCTTCTAGCACAGCTGGCTCAGAAGAAATCATGCCATTTTATTTAAGCTCCGTCAGACTTGGGGACTGACCAAGAGCAGGCTGCGTGGAGTAATCCGGATACTGCCCTCCAACACACAAGGAGGGAAGTATAACCAGAGGCACGTTATACTTAGGATCCTGTTCTAAAAATCTGTGTGGATCCCTCCTCCTCCTCCTCCTCCTATAAAGCCCAGAGTTGCTTTGATATACACGCCTAAAGAAGATCTTCCCAGTAATGGATTTAGAGGAAGTACATTCTTTTTAAAAACCTGCTGTGGGTTCTCCGACAAAACTATCAACCCAGGGTTGCAAATGATTCAAACCCCAAAGTGGGAAACAGCTCCAGAAGGAACACAGAACCATCTCAAAAGTCGCCTTGATACGCCACCCCCAAAGTCTATCCTTCATCCACAGACAACGGGCTCGCTATTCTTGTCAACGCCTTTTGGAAAAACGCCACGGAAAAAGAAAAAGAAGGGAAAAGACAAACCCCCTCGCAAGATTCCCACCTTCAGTTCAAGGCTGCAGGGAAGCAAGAAGAGGCCTCAAAGTACGGCTCGGCTTTGATTGAAAGGACCCTCCTATAGGGAGGAAGACCTCGGTTCCCGGGATCCGGGATGTGACCCGGGAGTTCTGTCTTCCTTGACTTGAGGACGCAGCAAGAATGTGGAGAGGCCCGGGGGGGACGGTCGAGAGAAGCCACGAGGAAGGCACACGTCTGACGTTGGAGGGCGGGCGATGGGTTATTTCGGAGGGGCGCGAAGGAGCACCTCAGTGGCAGCAGCCCCCACACGGAGTGCCCAGGTGAGCCTGCTGGCTCTCGCCAAATTTGGTCCTCCGGCTGAGGATTTCGTAGGAGCAGTCTTCCCCACAGCAGCCAGACATGCTCGGTGAGGTATCGTCTATTTCAAATCTAAAGGGTCACGACAATTTATTTATTTTTTAAAAGCAGGCCCAGACATAGACCTTCCAGCTGGTGTTTTATCAATAGATGTTAGAAACGGTTTGGCGTCGGTCAAAATAATTTTAACAGGGTGAACGCTCTGATCTAAGCAAGGAGGCGATGCGTGAAAAAGGTGGGTTTTTTTTAAAACCCAGCAATCCCCTTGTTCTTCCTGCCTTGGAAAAAGATAACAATTAAATCAAATCTTTTACTTACTGTAAAGCTTCTCTGAAGAACTGATTGGCTCCGTGGTTATGTTTGAAGACTGTTAACATGACCTTCTTCATCTGTGTGCTAAGAAAAGTCAGGGAGAGCCAAAATCAGAAGAGGATGAGAGAAAAACGGGAAGGAAAAGCAAAAAAAAAAAAAAAAAGGCAGTATAGTTCCTAAGAAGCTTCATCTTTTGGATTAATTTCTAGTTCTGTACAAAAGGAGAAATTAAACACACTTCAATGTATTTATCCAAGAATGATCCTATTCTCTTTCCATGTGGCACATGAAGCGTTATTGCCACTGAATTTTAATTCCCACAGCACTGCAAATCTTAACAAATCTAATCCAATACTAATTGCTTAAGTAGAAGTCAAAATCCTGTTTTAAAATCCAAGCATTTTGAAGGAACCAGTAATGAAGCTGTTATATTTGACGTATGTTAAGTGTGCCTGGTTTTGCTTGTGGATTGTGGCTCTACTCCTTATAATTGCAGGGCTGTAAAAAAATGCAGTGTTGTATTTCCTTATCAGTACATCAATCGTGTTAAGTTTAGGAAAGAATAAATTAAGAGATATATTGAGCCCGCTCATGGCTAAGTTAAAACTGTAACATTCAGGTTGGAATATCACAGGTTTTAATGTGGAGAGTTAGTCTTGTTAAACTTCAATAAAGTTTGCCCCAAAGAGATTGGCGTGTGTGGCTCAACAGTTAAGACGCTGGACTTGTCAACTGGAAAATCAACAGCCCAGGTACGAGACCCGAGCACTTTGTGACGGGGCGAGTTCCCATCTTAGCTTCAGCTCCTTGCCAACCTAGCAGGTTGAAAGCATGCAAATGCAAGTGGATAAATAGGTACCACTTTGGCAGGAAGGTCACAGCACTCAAAGACATCATGATGGCCACATCACCGCGGAATATGTCTTTGGACAGCGCTGGCTTTTTACAATCAGCAACTACTAGCAGAGTAAAATCCGCAGGGAGACTGGGGTGATTTGTAGAAACTATGGGAAAGCACAACCCTACCTATTTGCCACAAGCTGCAGGATCTGAATTAGAAACTTGCCAAGTCCTTTCCTTCTTGCTTTGCTTTCCAGCTGTATTTCATAGCTAGAGCAAAAAGAGAGAGAAATAAGTAAGCATATATCAACATCCCAGCAGTGCCATCTAAGATCTTTGTTATTGCCATTGAAGTACAAAATGCCGAATTTGGAAACACCTTCCAAAGACTTTGCCCCTATTTAGGAGAAGGGAACATCTTTCAATCAAGCAAAAACAAAAACAAAACAAAAACCATAAAACATTTCTTTTAATTTGAAATCAGTGCTTGCAACTATTTAAATAACTAAATAAATACTGAAAGCTTGCTTGGAGATCCAGTGACTGATAAGCTTGAAACAAGAAGACCAAATAGAGATGAAAATAACTGACGAAGTGCCAAATATGGGGGTTATGTGAAACGCACTTAGGGGTCACGTTAAAGGGGCATGGTTGGCATACAGCACAGATTTTTGGTTTGTTGTGTTTTGCAGGCACAAATTCTCCTTTCCATCCTAGAGCCTTGGTGGCGCAGTGGTTAGAATGCAGTATTGCAGGCCAACTCTGCTCACAGCCTGGAGTTTGATCCTAACGGGGCTCAAGGTTGACTCAAACCTTCCATCCCTCCGAGGTCGTTAAAATGAGGACCCAGATTGTTAAGGCAACAGACTGACTCTGAACACTGCTTAGAGAGGGGCTGTAAAAGCACTGTGAAGCGGTATATAAGTCTAAGTGCTACTGCTGTTATGTTCCACTCTACTCTGCATTTTTTCTGCACTCTATTCCATGCCATTCCTTTCCATATGTTCTATTCCGTACTTTCTATTCCATTCCATTCTATTAATTCTATTCTATTACTATTCTATTATTGTTCATTTCTATTCTATTCTGTTCCATTTTTCTATTCCATTCCATTAATTCTATTCTATTAATTTTTATTCTATCAACTCTTATTCTATTAATTCTTATTCCATTCCTTTCCCATTTCATTCCATATTTTCCATTCCATTCCACTCCATTCTATTAATCCTCCTTCCATACCATTCTATTTCATCCCGTCCCATATTTTCGGACCTTCCAGCCTGAGGAAGCCGGCAATCCAGTAGCTGAAATCCCAAGGGAGAAGCCCTACCAATAGAGAACCTCCTCTCCGTATTCGACGTCAAAGCGGAAGTGTGAGAACGCCACAGGAAGGGAGCCGTTTTCCAAAGCGATTAAGTACCAAGCCCGGTCATCGGTCATTTCGTCCCGTTTTTCCCGGTCTTTCCAACCCCACTCGCTCTGCTCATACCTTTGAAGGAGGATAGGAAAAAAAAAAGAGAATCGAGAATGTCCTTCAGGATGGGATCAACCTCCTTCTATTCAGGGGAGCCGGGAATCCTTGTGTAGTGATCCTTTTCAGAAGCGCCTCTGATCCTTGGTCTCCATAGAGACACTACAGGTAATCCTTGACTGACAACCATTTAGGTTCACTGACCGTTCGAAGTTACAACACTGAAAATTGACATACCACGGATCCTTGCACAGGTCGTCCTCAACTTATAACCACAAGGGAGCCCAACCTTTCTGTTGTGAAGTGAGACAGTTGTTAAGTGAATTTTACCCCATTTTATGGCCTTTCTTGCCACAATTGTTAAGTGAATCCCTGCAGTTGTTAAGTTAGGAACACGGTTGTTAAGTGGATCTGGCTTCCCTTGTTGACTTGGCTTGTCAGAAGGTCGCAAAAGGGGATCCCGTGACCTTGGGACACTGCAACCGTCGTAAATACGAGTCAGTTGCCAAGCGGCTGAATGTAAATCACATGACCATGGGGATGCTGTAATGGTCATAAGCGTTTTAAGTCACTTGTAAGTCACTTTTCCAGTGCTGTGGTAACGTAGAACGGTCATTAAACAAGCTGCTATTAAGCCAAGGTCCACCTTGTACTTTTGAGCATTTTTTTCCTCTCTCTTGCCAACTAAATATTTTGGCTCTTGAACCAGAAGTGTGAGATTGAACTACCTTTTTGCTCATACCACAATTGCTGGTCATGGCTGCCCACCAGCCTCCCCTTATCCTTGGGTACCCTTATGGCAGGGGTGGGATTCAAATTTTTTAACAACTGGTTCTGTGGGCATGGCTTAGGTGGTGGGCGTGGCTTGGTCATGTGACTGGGTGGACATGGCTTGGTGGTCATGTGATTGGCTGGGCGTGGCCAACTCAATATCACTCACATCGAGGCGCGCATCTCCTCGCCTGGCCTCTCATGACTGTTGGGGATGCTGCAACAGTCATAAGTGTGAAAAATGGTCATAAGTCACTTTTTTCAGCGCCATTGTAACTTTGCTCACTCCACACAAGCAAAGTACCAGCAAAGGAGGGGAAAAAAACTCCAGAGAAGTTCCTGAGACCGGAAGTCTAGTCCCGCCAAGAATGTAATAAGGGTTAACGGAGAGGCAGTTTCTGTAAGCAACACCAGAATGTTTCCTTCCTGCCTTCCTTACAGGATTAGGCCAGTAATTTCTTCTAACAACCAGTTCTCAGAACTGCTTAGAATGTTAACAACCCGTTCTGGTGAATAGGGGCGAACTGGTAGAATCCCACCACTGCCTTATGGACTTACAAGGTCTGCATGTTTGTTTTGGTCAGCTCAAACGCCCAGTCAAGAGTCGCCGGTTCCAAACTGGAGACGCGTTTGCACTCGATGGAAACATTCAGGCTGTAACGAAAAGAGAGCAAAAGGAAGAAAGAAAGAACAATATGTGATTAGGATTACTTGTGGAAATGCAATTAAAACTGGGGGTTGTGAGATAGGAAATGCCAAGCAGGACAAGAGTGAGGCTTTGCCATGATTTTATCGCAGAGGGAGAGGCCTGAATTCGAATCTCTCCCCTCAAAAAAAGGACAGGGACCTTTCACTCACCCATTTCTGTCGTATTTCTTGAACACAGGAAAAGCTTCCAAGGGGTCTCCCAGCTGTACAAAGAAAGGAAGTCATTAGACAAACTACAACGTTGATGTCAAAACACTGAGGCAGTGCTCTATCTCTGAGGGGCTGCCCCAAAGAAGAGGGGGTCCACCTGTCCCCCAAAACACCTGAAGGCAAAACAAGAAACAATGGATGGAAAAATAATCAAGGAGAGATCCAGACTAGAGAAATTTCCTGACAGTGAGAACAATTTATCTGTGGAATAAACTGCCTTCGGAAGTTGTGGAAGCTCCAACACTGGAACTTTTCAAGGAGAGACTGGACAGCCATTTGTCCAGAATGGCATGAGGTCTCCTACTTGAGCAGGGGGTTGGACTAGAAGACCTCCAAGGTCCCTTCCAAAGGTTGCTCTATTAAAAGCATGACTTTCTAACTTTTTGCTTTGGAACATTAAGGATCAAGATCAAGGCAATAAAATGCCTGGCCTCTTGTTATATTATCAAGGTTGACTTCGTCAGAAGTCATCTGGGAAGATCACCAAATGGGGATCATGTGACTCTGGGACGTGGCAACCGTCCTAAATCCACGCCAGTTACCAAGATCCTGAATTCTGACCATGTCACTGCAGGGAGGCTAGATCAGTCGTAAGTCACTTATTTCAGTGACGTCTTCAAATGGTCACTAAATGAATGGCCATAAGTTGAGGACTGCCTGATGCAGGTAGACTTATCTTCAGCTGATCCCATTTTCTGCAGGAATTGATCATCTAAACTGCCTTAACTTCGATGTGATAGGAAAGTGTCTTGTTCATGAATAGACCAGACACTAAATTTACAGAGGTTATTTTGGGGGGTGGGGTGGGAACTTCCTTTCTTCTGCTTGCATTTTCTTCTGTTGAAATTAAGAAGTTTATTTATATTTATATCTTTATTCTAACCAGCATCTACTAACGATCAGATCGTCCAAGTGGCTTTAATCCATTTTTCTCTAAACACCAGAACCATCCTAGAGGACGAGACTTTAATCTCACCAATTCCTTCACGTCAGGCAAGAAATAAACTCACAGATCTGTCTTCTCCCACCTTCAAAACACTGTTTAAAAAATAATGCTTCAATCCCCAGGAGTCCAGCCTTTCGAATTAGGGCTGGACAGGTTGGTGATACCAGCAGGCAACCATAAACTACAAGGCAACAGCTGGATTCAAAGAACACCTTAAACCCAGGACTTCCCTAAGATTTTCCTTCCTTACTCCAAACGGCTTCTCAGAAACTTTCAGCACCGTTGTAACTCTGAACAGTCGCTGAATCAATGGTCGTAAGTTGACAACTACCTATATTATAAAAATAATATCACTGAAGGTCATCTCATCAGGCAGGGCTCACTTAATAGCTGCCTTGCTTAGCAACGGAAATTCTACTCTCAATAAGTCATGCCTGCACAGGAAAGCTTTCTTATTTTCCCCACGTCACACATTTCTAAATTATGCAATTATTGTGGTAAAGCCATTCAGTACGTAAGGAAGAAGTGGTGAGTGGAATCGGAAGTCAAGTTGCTTTTCTCACCATTACATCAAGGGTGTCCAACTGTGGACTTCAACTCCCAGAATTCCACCAAATGGGAATGCTGGGAGTTGAAGCCCACAAGTCTTAAAGCGGCCAAGGTTGGACACGACTGCACTGCACCGTTCCCCAGATTTTAACTGTATTAATTTGCTTTTATACAAGGTGTTTTATTTATAGCCGCAAGGGCGTTGGAAACTGGAAGGCATACTTTGCAGGGTAAAATAATAATAAAGACGTGGAATAAAGGAGAAAAACTCACTTTATTTGCTGCATCAACCTTGGCACAGACAGCATCCATGGCTGCCCGTTCCTCCAACCGTTTCTGCTTCTTCTCCTTCCCTTTACTGGACTTCCTCTGCAACCAGGAGGGTTGAAATGCTAAGACACAACACACAAACAGAACTGAACAGTTCCCCATCTATTAAGGCTTCATCCATGACACAGGTAGTCCTCCGTTTACGACAATGGAGCCCCAAAATTTCTGTTGCTAAGCGAGACAGTTCCAAGTGAACTTCCCACTTTACCTTTCTTGACACAGTCGTTAAGCGAATCACTGCAGTTGTTATAGTCACACGGATGTTAAGTGAATCTGGCTTCCCCATTGACTTTGCTTGTCAGAAGGTTGCAAAAGGGGATCCCATGACCCTGGGACACTGCAACAGACATAATGACATGCCAGTTGCCAAACGTTTGAATTTTGATCATTTTGAAGAAAACGGTCACGAGTCAATTTTTTCAGTGCTGTTGTAACTTTGAATGGTCACCAAACAAAATGGTTGTAAGTCAAGAATTACCTGTACTGGCCACCTCTGTGACTCTTCCTGAACTTTTCATTAATATATCTCTCACGTTCCAACTGGTTTGTACAATGAATCAGGGTAGGCTAAAATAGGGGTGGCACAGCTTGTATTCTAACATTGGGGGCACCTGTAGCTGGCATGAAGCATGCCATTCCCATAAGGCACAAAAAGAGGTTTAGCAGTTTGAGCACAACACGTTTTGTTTTATGGATGCCATTAAAATTCTTTTTTTCCTACCTCCGAGCCTTTTTCTTATTTACCCCCACTTTAATTAGTCAGATTCCAAATTTTACAAAGAGGAGTTTGGTTTAGTGGTTAAGGCACCAGGGTAGAAACCAGGACAAGAGTGAGTTCTATCCCCACCTGAGGAATGAAAGCCAGCTGGGTGACTTTGTGTTGGTTCCCCACCCCTTGGTGAAGTTAATAAAGGCAAGGTAAAAATAAAACAAGTATGTACTTCACATACATAACCTGCACACTATATATATATATGTGCACGTATATATGTGAAGCCCATATATGTTTTATTTTTACTCTGCTTCTATTAATTTCACCAATAACTCAAGGCAGAGAATGTGCCCAATATGCCTATAAAATAAAAGAAACAGATATCCTGCAATCTCCTGAACTTAAAATTATGTATAGTAATAATTATATAAATATAATTATATAAACAGGATGTTTCTTCTTTTACATATATATGTGTGTGTGTGTGAATTATATTGTAGTATTGTATTGTATTAGATATATAATATATATTAT